TCCCATAACTTGTCATCGTGAATTCTTCAATCCTTCTTGATTGACACTTCCCTTGAATCGAAACACAAGCTCTTGATACCAGATGTTGGAAATCCACCAATACTTTATGATGAATTTTGACCACCACTGATGATTAGTTATGAGACAAACAAATAAAAGAACAATGGAGATATTTCTGCAGAGTTTCTCTCTGCCCACAAACTGTGGAAACTTTATTAATTCACTTTACAACTGCAAAATACTGTGAATGACTTGATTACAAAAATAGGGGTTACTCCCTATATTTATAGATTTAGGTTAGCTTGCTCCCTAAGCTAAAACCCAAGCCCAAAATATCTTTTACTAAATCAAATCTAATCAAATTTATTCTAGATTTAAATTCAAATCTATTTAAATCTAAACAAATCAAATCTTCTTTTGACACATATGAATTACAATTTAACAAAATTGAACTAGTTAATAACAAATGGCCCTCCCCGCAATTCATGTGAAATAGACTTGTCATTATTTCTTTTGATAGGACATTATTACTATTCTAGTACTCACATTATTAAACTCTAATTTCTAACCATTTTTTTAATAAGCAAATGAAATTAAACTTAAATATAAGAGATACTCGTCTCAAAATATAAAGAGAGAAGCCACACACCAGACACCAAGGCCAACAAACAAGAAAAAACCAATGGAAAACAAAGTTAACTTAAAGATATGGGCAAAAAAAGACTTGAAATATCAACCCCTCCAACATAAATTAGAGCTACTTTCATTCTAGCAACAAGCCAATTCCAAGAAGAATATTTTACCAACAACACAATTTCCTCCACTCTCTTTCTACCACCTTTGAAGAGAGTATTGTTACAACACAACTAAACGGGCCAGCAAACACTAATCCAAACTAAATTGTGAACACTACTTAAAATCTTTATATGAGCCAATTCTCCTTTAGTTGATATTCTTTATTGCAGTAATCTCCAACCAAAAACTTACACCTCACTCGATATAAATGATTTTTAAATAAGATCTAATTCCCTTTGCAACCTCTCCACAAAAAATCAATCAGAGTTGCATAAAGACTCCAGTATTCTATAGCAGGCTCTAACAAAATACTCATAAGGATTAAACTACGAAACAAAGGTCTCGTCCAACTCCCAGACCGAATGAATGCTCTACAACAAACAAAACTACTAATCAATGTCATTACCCGCAGAAGCAAAAAAATAAGATAACATTCTCCTCAAAATCCCAAGTCCAAGAGCTCTCGTACCACTTACCAAAATCATCCACCTTTGTTCTAGCTTACATCACACACGAAGACAACCCGAGAAACATACTGAGCACAAAATGGGGCCCTAAACAATTATCTCTCTAAAAATCAATGGAATGACAATTTCCCAACTTATAAGAAATACAATCCCCGAATCATCTTGAATCCTCCAAAGAAGCCCTACCAATTTGTCCCAAACCAATCCACCAGATTGAGTCCTTACTCGAATTGGATAACCTTCCCCCATGTAAAATTTCCCCCCAAATATCCCCATACCTAAATGACAAATGGTCAAATCTGTTAGTTTTCCATTGTTACTTGACTCTTCAACCTCGAAATCCGCTTTCTTTTTCTATTGGTGCCTCTTCCAATGTGTTTTGGTCATGGGCTTTTTACGTAGATAATTTTTAGAACCGTATGAATAATTCTTTGAAACCTAGGAGTTGTCGTGGTACGATGAACCTGTATCAACTTTGGTCACATTCCATTTTTGTTGATTAGCATGTGATTGACTTGTAGGTCGAATCCATCCACCAAGAGGAACACTGGCAGGTGGAACATAAGTCTTTCTCTGACTTCCCTAACGGCGTGAAGGTCATTGGTCTATCTTGTAAGGGACCCCCTTTTGTGAAAAGCAAACTTGGTCGTACTATTGTCCCGAATACTCTTTCTTGGTTGTTAGGGCTTGATTTTTTAAAGACTTTTGTTTCCTCTTTATCAAAAACTGTGTTGCAATGAGAGCATAACATTACTTTAGAACCCTTGATTTTGCACCAGTTCAAGAAGTCAATTAACTCATCCTTAGCTTTTGGATATACTTCATTGATTTTTTTAGTGTAATCTATCATACTACTTCTACGGCCTTCGTGTAGAGACCTGTAATAGGTTCAACCATCATGATTTCCAAAGGATAATCCAGATGTGCCTCTTCGACTTGTAGAGGGTTTGAGTCGATTTGCATTGACGACTTAGGCTTATCTTTAAACTTTAACCTGCCATCCTTTAAAGCATCTTGCACCAAATACCTGAAAAGAATACATTGAGAAGTTTTAAGACCAAGGAAGTTATGATATTAACAAAAACTTTTTTTCTTGTGGTCCAATGGTGGCGTCTTTAGGCCTTTCAGCCCTTCCAATGTGTTGTGTTCCCACAGGTTTAGGGCTTTTTACGTAGGTAAAAACCTTTTTTCGTATGATTTGAACATCAGAAAATAAAAGATCAAAATTTTTACCATATTTATTTAATCAAAAGTATAAGTTTTGGAATAAACTTTTCATTTCTACTTCATTCAATCGGGTTCTTCCCATTCGAAGGCCTCAAAACTTTATGAACACACAGAGGTCCTAGCTACAGTTCTGCTAGATTAATCTCATTTTCTTTGACATATTCAAAAACTATATCAAATTTTTTATCTGTTAGAACATAGTTTGATTCTACAACCCTTGTAAGAGTTTTGATGATAACAAACACAAAAAATAATTGTGCACTCTAAAATTATATTATGTTTTGTAGAGAAGTTCTGATGGAAGAAGATCAGAAGATAAGCTACAAGGTTGTTCCTGCTGTGAATGCTGACAACTCTCAAAAAGCTCTGATGAAAGAAGATCAGAAGTTGCGCTAAAAAGATGTTTTAAACTCTGATTACATAACTCTGGGAAAGTAAGTCTAACGCTGCAAACAGGATCTTATGGCTCTAACCTTCAAAAGTTCTAAAGCAAGCAGCAATGGATACTTCAATGTTCTGAAGCGTTACAAATCAAATATTTCCATTTCAAGAGTAACGATTGGAAGGGAACAAGGATCTTTATTTTTGAAAAGCACCTTAAATATCATTAATCAAGTTTCCAAATGATCATCCATGTTGCACCTATTTAAACAAGCCTTGAGGATAACTCGTTTATGATTTACACACATACTCAACAACGTTGCAATCATTTTTCTAATCCTCAAACATTCAATATTTTCAACTGTGTAAAACATCACTATACTATGATACTGTTTTGAAAGAAACAATATTGTACATTGTTTTATTCTTATATTGTTTAGTGCATTTCCTTGAGAAAAATCGGGTTTTGGTTATACTCAAGAAGACTTTGGAAGTTGTCAAAGTAGACTTGTAATCAAGATTGATTAGTGGATTAAGACCTCGTTGGAGAGAGGCGAAATCACCTTGACGGATGGACTGGAGTAGTTTGAGTTCAAACGAACCAGGATAAAAATCAACGTGTTCTTTTCATTGAATTTTAAGATTCCAATTTAACCCCTCCCTTCTTGTGTTTTTCCATTCTTCAGGGGCGTTATTTAATGTTACACTTGGTCAAAAAAGTCAACAATTCGACCCAATTGATGTGTCAATTGTTGGTAACTATGATTTGTATTTTGGATAAAAGGATTGAACATTGTACCAATTTGTTGGGTAAGCATATTAACCATGTCATGGTTAGTGTCATCTATTTGTTGCCTTATAGTCAAAAGAGAATTATTAGTTAAAGGTGGCATAACCTGAGGGATGTATGTCAATCCTCCTTCGGATTGACTCGTTCAACCTGGGTTATTTATAGAAGATCTTGATGTCATGTATGGATGAAAAGGAAAGGCAACAACCATTGCATTTTCTGCATTCATTGACGCATTAGTCTGTAGACCTACAATCATTGAAGTTAGTATGCCATATGGATACTCTCTACCGCTAGGGGAAGTGTAAAACTTGGAAAGAATGAACGCCTAAAGCCTCCTACTGTGGTTGGTGTAACCACATTATTTTTAGGAAAATTAGTTTGTTGTGGTGGTGGTATCATCCTTCTTGGTGTCGTAGTCGAAACTATCACCCGACTCACGATAAGAGCAGTTACTCTAGCGGTTGTTGAAGTGCTTGCACCACTAACCGTCATCTCGATTGGTTGTTCTTTTGAATTTAGAGCGTTATTCTAGTGAGAGGAAACTCCTTGAGGGGATGAATTTCCTACTGCTCTAGACATACTAACAAATTTTTCCACTCCTCAAACGCATAACACTCAACAATTGACAACATTACATGGTGAAGAATAAAACAAACATACAAGCACATACATTTTCTGCAAAAATTTAATTTTCGCACAAAAGAGTCCCACCAGGTGTGCCAATTTCTTTACTGGTGTTTTTTATAAATAATCACGAGTTTTAATTTACTCAAAGGATCAAACTCGAAAAATCCTAAAAAACACTTTGTGTTAAACATTTGACAAAAATGTATTAGTGCTAAATGATTTTTACTATAAAGATTCAAAGAAATGCATGAAGAAATGCTTAAATAGATAAAACAAATAAAGAAATGAGTAATAACAATGCAATTAGGTAAAAAAGTGCTTTAATTAAAAGTGGAACACAAATTTATACATTTCTCACAAATTATTTATCTCTGTGACTTAAATGGTGAATTCTAAAGAGAGTAGAATAAAAATGTGAGCCTCTATTACATTATCGAAATTTACTTATATATTAGGTACATCAAATAACAGTTATCTCTTCAGGATTCAATATTTATCTCATTACGTGGACTTTCTGTCTTCTAACTTGTTCGCACATGTTTTTGGCTTGCTGAATTATGATGGTCTATGATGGTCTACCGTGTACGGTAGTTGTGTTTTGTTATGTGTTTTTACAAGTCTCTTCCTATATAAGATAAACAAAAATCGCAACCAATATTCACACACTACAATTATACCACTAATAATTCATCACGAAAGGAGAGAGGAAAATGATGGAAAAGAAAAGCCCATTCGACTTGGTTTCAGATGATTCCGATCACCGATTCAGCCACCACAACATCCACAAAAACTGCTTCACAGATTCAAATAGCTTTGCATACAGAAGAATCATGAATGAATGGAAATTCCTTGCAAAACACCTCCCAGATTTCATCCACGTTAAAGCCTACGAACACCGCATCGATTTACTCCGCGCCGTCATCATCGGCTCCCCCGGTACACCTTACCAAGACGGTCTCTTCTTCTTCGACATTGCACTCCCCGAAGATTACCCGTTTAGCCCTCCAAAAATCCATTACATCTCATTCGGGTACCGGCTCAACCCGAATCTCTACCCTGCCGGAACTGTTTGTGTAGGCCTTCCCAACACATGGAACTGGAAGGGTAAAAAATTCCAAAGTTGGACCCCTGCTACAACTTTACTTGCGGTTTTACTTTCTATTCAAGCAATGGTTCTTAACGAGAAGCCACTCTTTAACAATCCTGCTTACAGTGTTTCAGATTATTCTCGTTTGGAATCCAAAGCACGTGCTTACAACGGGGCCGTTTTCGTTCTCACATGCTGCTCCGCTCTTTGTCTCATTCAGAAACCACCTAAGAACTTCGAGGGATTTGTTAGAGAACATTTTCGTGAACGAGGACATGTTCTTCTCGCCGCGTGTAAGGAGTACGCGAACGGGCGCGTGAGGGATGGACATTACGGTTACAACAGCAATAACAATAATGTTATTGAAGTTACCGAGTCTTTTCAGAAGCTGTTACGAAGTGCTTATGGGAGTATGTTTAAGAAGTTTCTAGAATGTGGTGCTTCCTTGGAGGGATTCGTTGCAGAGTTGGAGGTGGAAGTACCAGTACAAGAAAAGAGATCAAACGGTGGGAAAGGAATCTTCAAGAAAGCTATGGGCAAGATAAAACAAGTTTTGGGATAGAAGAAGAACAAGAAGACACTTAGTAAAACAGTAAAAAAAAAACTGGTTATCTAGTACTACTTTATTTAGAGTTTTTTTCTTTTATGAAGCAACCCTATATAGACTTTTAACTTTTTCTTTATTCAAAGGTTAAAGATTCCTAATAGTTTATCTGTTTTCATCCTATAAGTAAAAGATATTGGACTTTATCTATAAAAGTATATAAGTATTTTATTTTAGGTTCTTAAAACTGATGTATGAATTTGCTTATGTAAGGTTCACACTTCACATGAGGATATTTGAAAATTGATAAAAAAAATTGTGCAATAAAAAGAAAAATGTTTAAATTTAGAAAAAGTAATAGCAGACTTTATATTTATATATATATATATATATATATATATATATATATATATATATATATATATATATATATATATATATATATATATATATATATATATATATATATATATATATATATATATATATATATATATATATATATATATATATATATATATATATATATATATATATATATATATATATATATATATATATATATATATATATATATATATATATATATATATATATATATATATATATATATATATATATATATATATATATATATGACGTATAATATGAGAATGAATAAATTATATAAGAATGTTAGAATGTATTAATAACTATTAAATTTATATTTAACGGTTGAAATTAAAAGATATTTTTAAATTTTGATTAATGATTTTTCTTTCTTATTAATAACATATGATTTAATAAAAATCTCAATTTAATCTCAACCTTTCTTTTTTAAAAAATATTGATTACAAAATATTAATCATTAAATTAGATTTAATTTAAAGATTATGATTTGAAGTAAATTAAAAATTAACTGCATCGTTAATTATTTTCTCTTTATTTTTATTTTCTTCTGATAATTGTTCATGTATCTTCTTTCTTCTTTAATTCTTTTTTTTAAAAGTATAATTAGTCTCTAAGTCCCTTAACTTTATGTGAAGTTTCGCTCTGGTCTCCTAATTAAAAAATGTTACATGTTGATCATTTAACTATCATTTATATATTTTGGTCCATTATGTTAGTTTGAGTGAAAAAAACATTAAGTTTGTCTGAGGTGACATGACATGTATGCATTAGGTAATAAGTTGAGTCAACATATATATTAAAAAATAGTTTTTTTTAAAAAATTGGAGAGGTTTTATTTTCAGGGGTTAAAACGCCCCCCAAAATATTAATAATGTGTAAATTATAGTGCTCTACTTCTTCTGGATTGTTCAATCATATCCACACTTCGAAACAATCACTACTTCCTCTGAATTGTTCAACCCTATCCACACTTCTCCTAATAGTGCTCTAAATTATAGTGATTTTCATCTTTAAGCCATAAAGGCTCGTATTTTTGTTGGCATAACTCTCATAAACACTTAGCATGAGAACAATCAACAGCCTCATCAGCAGTACCCTAGGGAATCTATAAGAATGACACAAAATTAGTAAAAAGCATAATAAAATGCTAATTAACCAATAAAATAACATGAGAAAAACAATATTTTCTAAGTTATAATATTCCCAAGAATGCGTTTAAGAAAATTCAATCAGCAACAAAGGCTTTTTAACTTTGATGTATAAGAAAACCCAAATTAAACACACATTACCATTCACTTTCAAGGATAATCTAAACACAAATTAAAATCATACATGACTGTGAATTTAATTCAGAGTAATAACTGATTCATGTATAAGAAAATTATATGTGCAAACTATAACCTAGTAAATCACACAAACAACAATAAGTCATGTTTTTTCAACCAAAAAATGATACTAACTAAAGAATGTTGTGTGGAATTAGGAACATTAATTGTGCTCTGGTCCCCATTGGCAATAGAATTCAAAACTGCCCCCAATAACATGAAATCATAGTACAACAATAAATAATGTTTTTTACACAAAACCAAAACAAAATATTATCACCAACACCTTTATGAAAAAAAAACAAAAAACTTAATATAGAGCAAAAGTATTAGATGTAAAGAATACATTACAAACTCATTTAATCAAACATGAAAGTCTACTTGATGACAAAAAGAAGGTGTTCATCCTTCTACAAATTAAAGGACACGATACTCATAAAAAAGGTGTTGATCCTTCAAGACTTTTCCTTTAAATATCAAACGTTGTTGGTTAATAGGTACACTATTTTCATTTGGAATTTTCTCTCTGAACAAGGAAATGAGTATCTGAAATACTAGAAAAACTTAACTTTATTTGCTAGATCTGAAGTAAAACCTAGAAAAAATTTAACTTTATTTGCTAGATCTGAAGTAAAACCTAGATCTGAAACTTTATCCACTAGATCTTTCATCTAGGCTTCTTGAACCTGGAAAGTTTAGAGTGAGAAGAGAAGAAGTGTTTGGAAAGGAAATAATAAAAAAGGATTGAAGTGGTTTGAGTGAGATATTGAGAGATGCTATTGATAGAGATTCCATTATTGAAGGTTGAAATTTGAAAGAAAGATTTGATTTTTGGGTGAATGGATGAATGGTAGTTTGGAAGGGTAAGGTAAAAAGACGAGGAAGAAGAACAAGAGAATGTGTTTCTCATTCAACTCATATGTTGTAACTAACTCTAACCACTTTGTAACCAAAAATAAAAACATGTCAAGTTAGTTGGTGTTGTTGTTGATGTGTGGATGTGGAATTATCATGATCGATGGTAGTATTATTAACATGGTTCAATAATAAGCAACACACTAATGGACAAGTAACTTATTCTAAATCAATTTTGTAACTATATAAGGATTTAACAAACTTAAAAACTTGGTGAGGCTTGCTTTTGTGGACTCCAGGAGGAATAACCATATATACACTCTCTTCTATTTCTCCATGCAGAAACGTGTTATTTACACCAAGTTGATGTATGTGTCATTGTTTGCATGAAGCTAAAGCAATAGTGGTTCTCACAGTAGTGATCTTAGAAACTGGTGAGTAGGTATCAAAATAATCAAGACCCCAGTCTGATTATATCCCTTGGCTACTAAGCGTGCTTTGAATCTTTCAATAAAACCATCAGCCAGATATTTTATCTTATATACCCATCAGCAACCTATAGGTTTAACACTTGGTGGAAGATCAACAATCTTCCAAGTGCCATTATTTTCAAGAGCTGAAAGTTCAAGCTACATATCTTACTTCCAACATTCATGTTTGGTGGCTTCAGTATATGTCTTAGGTTCAAAATTAGAAACTAAGGATAAAGCATAATGAGAATGTATAGATGACAGGTGTTCATGGGAAATGTAATTTGACATAGGATAAGAAATACTTGTGGATGTTTGATTTGATGCAGTGAGAGAATTGCATATGTAATCTTGCAGATAAGAGGGATGTTGCCTCATTCTTGAAGAGGTTCTAGTTTAGGGTTCAGTGGCATTGTTGTACCCCAAAATTTTCCCTCTCATTTTATCAAGATTTCCCCTCACAAGACTCTTTGAATTCCAGACAGAATTAGGGTTTGCTCTGCTCAAGACATCTTCTTGCACTGATGACCTAAATTAGGGTTTGAGTTTGCACAAGGAATTTTGGACTTCTAATGCCCCATGTGACTTTCATACTTCATGTTGGACTTATAAGATTGCTCATACCAAGTTTCAAGCCTTGAATCAAATTTTTGCCCAGTCAATTGGACAGTTGACCTAGAAATCAGCTGTATTAGGGAAAAAGTCAAATGTGGCCAATTTACAGTCAAACCTCATAAATTTTGATCCACATCAATATTATAGACTCATATGAGCCGTTTGATAAAGTTTGGACCACAACTCCTCAAGAAATTTGATCAGATCATCAAAAGGGCAAAATGGTCATTTTTAGGGTTTTGACTGTAGAGGGGTAATTTCTGACTTTTGACCTAGCCAATGGCAAATTGGGTTCAAGCATGGATTCAAGGACTCAATGGCATCATCTTGACCTATTCACAAGGTTCAAAAGATCTCAAATGCATTGGATTGACAAATGAATTTTCCAGTCAACTAATCAAAAATCAACTGTACACTGAAAAGTCAAACTTTGACTTTTTGGTCAAAATCAGGTGCCAAAGGTCATTTTTCATCAAGATGTGTCAAAACATGAAACTTTTTCATCAAGAAACCTAATTTTGCAAATTAGGGTTTAAGATTGAAAAAATTTCATATCTTAGAAATTTTCTAAGTTATGAAATTTCTTAATTTTTCCCCAACTTTGCCCAATATTTTCACCATGATGCAATTGGATTCAAACAAAACTTCCAACATGAAAGTTGTATTCCTCCACAAATTCTACAACTTTGGTTCACAAAGTCTTCCCAAAAGAAGTTTGGATCTCAAGTTATGATTTTTGGAACAAGGGTCCATGAAACTTTTAACTTAGTGAAATTTTGCCCTAGTTTAGGCAGGATTTTAACCTATCTTCATGGAAATTTTTCACATAGTTACACTTGGAATATTAAAATGAATTTCAAAGATGGATTGTAGAGCATGTTACAATCTTTCCGAAATGTCCAAGAACTCTCCAAAATCATTTGTGGTTAGGGAGAATCGAAGGTTTGAATTTGGCAAAAAGTCACTTTGATCCATGGCATTTTTCATGTTGCTACAAGTTGCAATTTCCATCCAGCATTGTTTATACTTGCTTACAGGTATCTAAACCCTTCCACACTCAAGAATTAAATGCAAACTCAATGGATTGAATCTTTGTTCTGATCAATATAGGTTTACACAAGGGATTAATCCAAAAATAGCAAAAAGGCAACATTGCCATTTTTGTCAAAACTTGCTTTATGTAAAATTGCATCCCTTGAGCCTTGAACCCAATCTTGGACAGAAAACAAAATCCACAAACTTGGGGCCAAGCTCACAAAATGTATGCAGGATTATAGCTAGCCTGTACAGGCCTGTCCTTTGTCACTTCTCACCTTTGGCTTCAAAAACAAGAAAGCTTGCAAAAGTGAGAAAACTTGGCAAT